AGAAGTATACGTACAAGCCGAAAGTTGCACAAAGTTACACGTTACACCGTTTCTCTGTCGTCGCGCTTGTCGGACTACGGCCGGCCGTCTGGATTGCTTGGCATCGACCGTGCCGGCTTCAGTCGCAAATGTGGCGCATACAAAAAGTTTTTTTTTGTGTTGATAACTGTCATATTATTTAAAAACAATTTATTGAAATTACTTTACTTCATGTCACTGTGTAAGTTTAATTTAACATTTTAAATCGTAAACATAAATAATACTTACGCGACAATTAGGACGCCATGGCGCAGCGAGCGCGTGTGACCTTCGTACGGCTCGCGTTTGCGTGCGCACCTCTATAAGGCAGTCCAGTTGAGTATGGGTTGGGTACGCAACGCCGTGCACCCCCAAGCCCGCAACGCCCCAAGAGCTTGCGTACCCAGCACTAAATCTCTCTTTTAGTGCTGGGTACGCAAGCTCTTGAGGCGCCGCGGGCTTGGGGGTGCGTGGAGTTGCCTACGCAACTCGAACCCAACTGAAATGCCTTAATTAAAGTGGTGCGCACGCAAACGCGAGCCATACAAAGGTCACACGCGCTCGCAGCGCCATAGCGTCTTGTCGCGTAAGTATTATTAAACAATTTTTACGATTTCAAATGTTAAACGTACATATTTACGTGAAGTAAACTATTTTCGAAAAATCATTTTTAAATAATATAACAGTTATTAACCCGAAACAAAAAAAAACTTTTTCGTATGTGCCTCAGTTGCGACTTAAGCCGGCATTGTCGATGCCAAGCAATACAGACGGCCGGTCATAGTTCTACAAGCGCGACGACAAAACAACGGTGTAACATGCAACTCTGTGTAACTTTTAGCTTGTACGTATAATTCTTTACATTAACGTGTTACCGGATACCGGTTTGCGTTTACTGTCTTACCGGAACGCGCGTCTTCCAACTTTTTGAGCTCCTCATACATGAACGTTTACGTACGTACGTAAACGTGTATACCTTAACGTTTTCGCAAACAATAATTGGTGATGTTAACTGCATTTAACTTGAGTAGGATTGAATCACCGTTGCGGCAAAATCACGACTTTTTTTATTGTATACAGTATCCTGGTATTTGCTAAAAAGTGAAAAATAGAAGGTTACTGTCAAGATGAAGTCCAGATGTGACACTTCGTGCAATTACATTCATGAACACGATGGCTTACGCGTAATGTTTTTGAGGGAAAATGATTATTAAGGTAACTCATTTGTAATAACGCTACTGCGCAGTTATTGCACCAGACATACAATGCACATTGTTTCTGCAATAACAATTTTTGGTTGCCTGGTTCACTATGGTCCCAATAGATGGCACCACCTATTCAGCTGGTCGGGGGCTCGCACGTTTTTGGCTTCTATGTTTCATGCCATTCTAGCTTTGTTAATCTGGCTGAAACAACGTAATCGCTATTGGTGCTCGCACTTTGGCTTATTTTACCTTGAAGACTCGAGTATCGGCAGTGCGGATACCATGAGTTCCTTCGAAGGTGGATCTTACAAGGCGGCCAATCCATGCTGTCCGAGATTTGCCGCTTTTGTGCTATGATAATTGTATAGTGGTTAGCCACTATAATATTTGTGCCTAAAACTTAAAAGTCAAGTTGGTGGCTCTGGCCAGCCTCGGTTTGGCTCGAGGTGAAGGTGGGCGACATCACGGGTTACATGATGCACCAGCATGTGCGCTAGGGCAGCTTATCTCCACTAGGAAGCCAGTGGTGGCAGCGTTGTTTATGGCCACGCGGATGCATGGCCCCATTGCCCCAGCGAACTTGCGACGCATCTGCTCGAGGTTTCGCGCATGGGCAGTACCGCCGCCTCAACGTCCTGGGTACGCAAGCCGCTCGGGTACCCAGCACTAAAACTCTCTTTTAACTTTCTTCAGATGCAAGACTAACTTCTTTCGACGACATTTGCAGTGAAACATGCAGATACGGGGCCAATTTTTTTCCCGTGTACTTGGTCACTCAACACGTTTAGTTCCATGTTTCCCTCGCAATTGTTTTGAAGCTTTAATAGACCGAAATTATTGAGGTCAAGTGCGGTTAAGGTAAGGTGTGAAAATTCTTATTGCTGTCAGGTTCTGTCTTCGTGCAGAATCGTAGCAACTGAACTACCACTCTAGATAACTACGTCATATGTTGAATTTCCTTGCAGTTAGTTACCTATTGGTGGGCATGACGTGCGAGACCAGTCGTCGCATCATCGAGGCAAATATCTTTAGTTATTACATGGGTCCAGAAGCCTATAGTTTGACATTTTTTCACGGTTGGGCAGGGCACCTACTTGAAATGGTCATTTTTCTCTCTCCATGGGGAAAAAAGTTCCGGGAGTAGGGCGCAGGTTCTGTGAGTACTCCCCTGGTTACGCCACTGCTTGGACCACGTCCGTGAGTGTGCCACAGAAAGAGCTCATTTCGACTTTCTGACGTTTGTGTGGAAATCGCTGCTATCAGTGATGCGCCCACGTGAAACTCCATTAGCGTTTGTGACGCGGCGGTAGAACACCGGCATTTCAAGCAAATCACGGTATAGGACTACATAACCCCTGGCGACTGTTGCGAAGAAACCTCTATATCCCAGTGAACAGAAACACCTCATGATTTCCGAAAGCATTGTGCGGCAGTTATATTTTATTTGTTTGACAAATATGTTACTTGAGTGCTTATGACAGTCATATTCATGTAATGTCTCCTGCTAGAGAAAGTGCAGCTCTATCAAATCATTTAGATCATTCGAAGATGCAGGCGTAACTTGCACGGTAAAGTGCAATGTATTTAGTGAATAAAAAACATCCCGATTACATTTCTCATGCATCGCCACAAACATATTCTAATCACGAAGTGTATGCCTAGTTCTAATAACGTTAGTACTACTTGGTATATTTTCTTAGCACCCATTCTGTGGTGTACGCGATAAAAGCAACGAACGTCTTCTCCTTGTTCTGTTCACAATAAATCTTCCGTTTGGACGGGAGTCTACCTATCCTTAGCTAAATTATAGAAACTTCTCACAGCTCTGAAAACTTTCACTAGTTGTTAAACCTTGCATCTTGTATGTGGAGAAATTTGCATAGCGAAACGGAGGAGTAATCATCAACGTATCGCTAAAGAGCGTGTACCCGACGGGAGCAGAAAATGGCGACAAGCGCTGGCGGAGCAGGCAAGTCCGTGCCGTGACCGCAGCGACGCTAGTGTTCGTTATTACCGTCGACCATACCTTGTGGGGTTCCGATTACCCTCTGCGAAGTCGTTTGCGCATAATAGCACACGTGAACCTCGTTGGCACACGTGAACCTTGTTTACTGATAAGTCGCAGTTGCCTTTAAAAACCATCGAGCCAGAGGTGCCACTGTCCTTCCATGGACTGTAAAGACCCTGAGTGAGGTTAGCACAGTGGCGCCCATCGCGCCGCCTGGCGGGGAATATTAGGCCAGATTTCGGCGTACAGCAGCGCTCGAGGCTCTTTGGCGGCGCGCGTAGACGGACGTGTTGTCGCGGTTAATCTGTGGGGACAACACATCGGCTTGTTTAGCGCGAGCCCCTCGTGAGGAGACGAACGTCGGCAACGTTGTGTTTGCGGCACCTTGTATATGCGCTGTGCTCCTTGTATTTGTTCTGCTTGCGTCTATCGTGTATGCATTGCATATATTGATATTTATAATTGCGTACCGTTTATTCAGGTGACATTTCACACTGAGCGCGGAGAAAAGTGACGTGGATAATCCCGTCTCCCATTTTGTAACTTGTGTACTAAACATCACTGTTATCCTAACAAACCCGAACTCATTTAAACAGTAGGGATATGAGCATATTGATAAAGTTTTTGTTTACATACGTCATGTCTATTTCACTTCGGTTACTTCATGCCTCTAGTATGCGACTTTGTACACTAGCTGTTGAAAAAGTGCCAGGCAGATCCACACCTTTAAGGCTTCCTCCGAGAAAGCTCAGTATAGTGATATCAGCACTAAAGAGTTGCACTTGTGCTAGCTAGCTTACTGGTTCCCTGCTGACATGGCATAGCCAGAGTGGAGCTTATAGCTTGCGGAGGTGTCACGAGTGCTACTGTTCGGCTCAATGAAACCATCAATGAAAGTTCTTTAGGGGCGAAGCTCCTTATAGCGGCACCCATTCATCCCTCGTAGCCGTTGTAGTCCTGTGTAACAAATATAACATTTTGACCTCCAAGGTGGTGCCGGTGAGATATTTCTTCTGTGCGTTGTTCAACAATAAAAGATAGTGCTCAATGTACATGCCAATGGCTGATAGGTAGGAATGAGTGACAGGAGAATTCGGCTTTTAGTCAACGCACACGCTGCAAACTTTTTATTGTTCAACAACGCACAGAAGACAAGAAAGGGTTCCTACATTATACTCATTCAGCGTAACCTCGTAGGTTTTAAAACGGTTTAGCGAGCGTTTGGGCCGCAGTTCCATAAATACAGTGAACTAGTATATACCATGAACTGGAGGTGGCTAAAGGTGGGAAGGAGACACGTTGCGCAAGCCGTAAGAAAGTGTGCGCGTGCCTCCTCTCGTTCAGTCCTTGGAATGTCCGCTGGATGGTGGTGCTTCTATATGAGGAATATATAATGAAAAGATGCGAGATGTTGGTACTTGGAGGGTTGAATAGGTGGACGAACGAACACACAGACAGATGCATGGATGGACGCACGGATGGCTGCACGGACAGATGGATGCATGGACAGACGCAGGAGCGGATGCATGGACGAAAGCAGGGTCGTACGCACAGATAAACATGCGGACGCACGAACATACGCACGCACGGACGGGCAGATGGACGCACGGGTGGCCACACAGACGCACGCATGGATGGACAGAAGCAATAACGAATGGGTGGACGAATCCTTCACCCCACTATCCATCATTCACTCCATGGATATGCTGCCATTTTTTTTTAATTTGATCCTTAAAGCGCTCAACGACCAGCATGATGGGACAACTTACCTTGAGATCTCGGGCTCCCATGTTGTTCCTCGTCGCCGTCATGCGGAACCCAAAGCTTGTTTATTCTGAAACAAGAAGCCAGACAAGTTCAGCATGGGGTGTAGCCAAAAATATTTTCCGCGGGAGGGAGGGAAGGAGGGAGGGAGGGAGGGGCGAATCAAGTGACTTTTACATATTGTAATGTACGTAAAACTTAAAAAATATTGTTGTGACGGAAGTGAACCACCCTATTTACCTCCAGAACATGTGGGGTAGATATCAACATCCATTAGAGGTCCCCGCTCCACCCTTCGCTATATCAGTGAAGGTCAGTACCGCCTTTACAATACGTGTAAACCTAAATAACAACCACTGCACCAGAACTGCTCTAGCATGCCTTATTAAAACATATGTTGCGAGTGTACAGACAGCCAAATATTTAAATACCGCTAACGCAGGTGCTTCAGCGTATTGGTATGGCATGGCGTGGAAAAAAAGGAGCGCGAAATACGAAGCATGAGAATAAAGGACAGAAACAACAGCGATGTTTGTGTTCCTGTTTTATTGTGCTGTATTTTTTGCAAATATTTTCGTTTGTCTGTTTCCGCAGAATGTGTGCTTAGTGGTGAATTTTCTGTGTCGTAGCGTCAGAGGATGAAACATTGTTGCAAAAAATTATTTATTGAGCGTGCGCTTACGCTCAGCCTTTACGGAACTTATTTCAGCCATTTGGTGAAGATACACAGAAGGAGGGGCCACTTGCGCACGCTGGGCAAAGATTTTGGCGACTTTTCGCAAAGATTACGAATCCTAGAGGTTATTTGTTTACTTATTTATTCATTCAATCATTCACTTATTTATAGGCCCACAATGTCTACGCTGAAGCCGCCGACTAATATAAAGGGTTTGTAAGTGTTGTATATGTTCTGCCATAATTATGATCGGCATTTGTCCATTAATAAACGTTTTACGTTTTTCTTTCTCACGTTACCATACAATATATAGCTTTGCCCCACATAATGTAGTCCTCACGCACGGACACCGAAAAAACCTCACCCCTATGGTGCTCCACCCTTAAAACACCGTTCTTGACCTCGGTGAGTAAGGAGAGCTTTTTACCCGCTTGGAATTCAAAAAAAATTGGTAGACCCTTACGCTTCACCTTTAAGAGATGAACATGATAGCGAAATCCGACCCCTATTGCGCCCTAAAACTGCTAAGTGCGTACTTATTATTATGTTTTGTTACATACACACGCACACACACACACATACACACACAGTAGATTGTACCAGCAATCGCGTGCCAATGGTACATACTCGTTTTTTATCTAAAGCAAGAATCACAAGGCCTCCAAGATACACGCCACACGCTCGCTATCTCGGAGGTCATAAGGAGTCTCACAATGCTTCACAGATGGCAGCACATTATCTATCGTCTGGTGTTTGCTTGATCAACACCTCTGAATAGGCATGATATGTTTTCTGATAGATGGACATAGTTGTCCATTTCTATGCTGTTTGAAAGTTCTTGTGTGTGCATTTAGTGGCAATTACTGCAATATCCCAGCCTTTCTCAACATTATGGCCTCCCAAATGCGCCTATGAATCGCCGAATGAGCCCGTTTTCATCGTGACACCTGTCGAACAAAATACGTTAGGGAGACTCCTTCCCCTACATGCCATTTATATAGTGTTTTTTTTTTCGAATTAGCAGCAAGTAGCATCGTTGCTTTGTGGTAGGAGACATCCTTACCACGTGAACGTTCCGGGTTTGATCTTCAGTAGGACCAGAAGCTTTATTCTTTACTTTGTTTGCTTTTTTTTACTTTTCGCTCACAGACTATTTTTCTCTCACAACCGACACCGACGGCTAAATTTCTGCGACATGAGCTCTCTTACACTATCATGTTAAAAACGTTAGATGCCCGCTCACAACCGATGGCGGCCGAGATTTCGGCATCCCGCCGATGCCGTCGCTTCCGCTGTGAAAAAACGTGAGTGTCTTCAGAAATTGTTGCGTCTCCAAAGACGGCTATACGGCCCTGCATGCACCAAACTTAATTAAATGGTTTCTTGACATTACGTTGAATTTCCAATCACACTATTCGATCCTGCTTTTTGCCATGCCTTTCGAGAATTTCGAATGACTGCATAAATAAAACTGCTCCTGCTTAAAAGAGCCGAGTGTGTGGCATGGCCTTCCGTAAACCTGCATAAACTTGAGATAGATTATCTAAGCGCGAGCCTGTATTCGTAACCATGTGTCCTTGTTTTTTCTTTATATGTAAATTGTCTTGACTATAAATTTCCAAAGGACAGTCAGCGCCTGTCTGGGCTTTCTTCCCTTCTTGCTCGTGTTTTTTTTTTGTGTGTGTAAAAATGGCATTTACACTGCTTTCTGCGTTCTCTATCTCAGTTCTTTCTAGAAACGAAAACAAAAAGGCAACGTCAATACGCGGGCTCGAACCACTGCCACATGCTTTATATAATGTGATTTGCAGAAGAGCCCGGCAATCATTCCAGGTACTTTTAAAGCGAGTACATTTCTTACTCGGGCGATGTCAGGCGTCCGCCGGTATCTAACCACCGCCCTCTCCCAGAGCTGCGGGAGCGCGCGTCCATAGCAACTGGAGTCTCCACCAAGCCACGTTTCGGCAACGGAAGCTGTTAGCAACAGCTGCAGGCGCGCGCGCTTATCCTAGCCCCTAGCAACCAGAGCCCCTCTCCTTGACTTGAAGGTGGCTTGCCACCGGCTCAATGCAGTGCGTTTGAAATGCGCTTGCAGCGTTTGTGCTGGCAGCGTTTGTGTTGATAAGACGCTGCCATTATGGCCGTCAGGTACAATGACAGATGCAGTGTTTCGCCGCTCCTTCCCTCGCCGCTCGCTCTCTCTCTTCTCTGCGCCTCCGTCCGATTGCTCGTACCTAAATATTATTCGAGTGAAGCACGCGCATAACTCTTGACCGTTTGCTGGTTGATGAATGTGTAAATAAGTGGCTACGGTACAAATCCTTGCCTCGTCATTAATTTACGCCATTAAAATTACTACACCGTGTACTCTCGGCGCAAGAAATATTTCTTTTCCTAAAGTGCTATACTGATATATAGTCTATGTCTACTTGGGACAGGTAATAACCACAGAGCCAAACCATGAGACTGAAGTAACTAGAAGAATAAGAATGGGGTAGAGCTCATTTGGCAAGCAATCTTAAATCATGACATAGATTGTCACTATTCTTCAAGAGAAAGGTAAATAACAGCTGCATCTTGCCGGTACTTTGTTATAGAGTAGAGACCTGGAGACTTACAAAGAGGGTTCAGCTTCAATTAAGGACGTCGCAATGAGCAATGGAAAGGAAAATGGTAGGTGTAACCTTTAGAGACAAGAAGAGAGCGGAGTGGATCAGGGAACAAACCGGGATTAAGGATATCAATGTTGAAATCAAGAAGAGGAAATGGACATGGGTTGGGAATATAGCACGATAACTGCTGGTCATTAACGATAACAAACTGGATTCCCAGAGGAAGCAAGCAGGTTGGGGGAGGAGGGGACAAAAAGTTAGGTGGGCAGATGAAACTGTCAAGTATGCGGGGTACAAAATGGCAGCCGCAAACACATGACCGAGTTGACCGGCGGAACATGGGAGACGCCTTCGTCCTGCAGTAGACGTAGTCAGGCTGATGATAAATTTATCTGTATATATATATTGTAAGACGGCGTCCAGTGCCCTCAGGACTCTTCTTTATTGTCTCGAGTATGTGCCCCACAACCTAAATTGGAGTGGTGATGATGAGTATGTACAGATGAAAATATGGAACGAGTAACGATACTCACATTTATTTTCCCCGCTCACTTGAGTGGCCGGCCCGGCCGAGACTTAGGCGGGAAAGGTACGGCGAACAAAGGGTTTAAGGCGTGAAACGTGAACTATCTCGGATGCACGGTAATGACGGCCCGAGGAACCCTCGACGGGAGTGACAAGGTAATTGACAGGAGATGTTCGTTCACTAACAACGTACGGTCCGAGAAAGCTTAACTCAAACTTTCCACACAATCCGGGTGCACGAACAGGCGTCCAAAGTAGTACTTCATCTCCAGGACGGAAGGTGACGTCTCGACGAAAGCTGTCATAGCGTTGTTTGCAGTCTAGTTGACTGGCCTCCGTGTTGAGTTGAGCACGTTGCCGTGCGTCAGCGAGCCTGGAGACGAAATTTTCTGGCGCAGTCGTGGACTTTTTTGTCGTTACATTGAAGAAAGAGGCGTCAATAGTGAATGTCGGCGCACGACCATAGACGAGGAAGAAAGGTTAATACCCGGTGGTTCATTGAACAGCGGTGTTGTGTGCAAACGTTACGAACGGCAAGATTTTGTCCCAGTTATCGTGGTTCGGTCCGATGTACATGGATATCATGTCGATTAGAGTCCGGTGGAATCGCTCTGTCAGGCTATTTGTCTGCGGGTGGTAAGCGGATGTGGTCTTATGAACTGTGCCACAAGTTCTTAGAATTTCGTCAAGAATTGTCGACATGAAGGCCTCGCCCCGGTCAGTCAACAACGTGCGAGGTGCACCATGACGCCACACTATGGCTTCTAAAAAGAAGGCGGCAACGTCTGAGGCGGAGCTAGTACGTAGAGGAGCGGTCTCTTCATATCGTGTGAGGTGGTCGATGGCTGTGACAATCCAGCGGTGGCCCGCTGGCGTTACGGGAAGTGGTCTGACGAGGTCTATTCCGACAATGACAAAAGGTGTATCGGGACATATAATGGGTTGCAATAATCCAGCAGGAGCAGAAGTTGGTCTTTTTCGGCGTTGACACAGTGCACAAGAAGCGACATAATTAATCACAAAGATAGAAAGACCAGGACAGAAGAAACGGCTCCTAACTCGGTTGTAGGTCTTCTGAAATCCCAAGTGTCCAGCTGATTGGTCGTCGTGGAGTGCTTCGAGAACTTGTTTTCGCAGTGAACGGGGAAGTACTGGCACCCATCGATGCCCATCCGCATTGTAAGTATAGCACTGCAGGTTGTCTAGCTTGAACTACCGTAGCTGACGACGTAGTCTCGCATTAGGCGGAGAAGGCGA